ATCCCGATAGCCGCGGACCGCAGCGCTGCAGTCGCGATGATGGATGAGCCGTGGTGGGAAGGGCGCGTCGCCTCGGACGTCCACTGCACTCTGCGCGAGAAGGTCAGTCCCTCCCCGCCCTTGTCACTCGCGGGACTGGGTATTTAAAGTCGGCCTTCTTTCTCCATTCCTCCTCCCACCTCCCGTCGGTGTCCTCAGGTCGCCCCGCATGGGAACTCAGAACTTTGGGTGCCTTTCTCGGGAGTGCTGGGGTGTGTAGGGGTCGGGAGTGAGGACTAGAGCAATATTAGGGAACTTGAACTAGTTTTTGCTGATTAGGAGCCTAGAGCTCCCAGCCAGGACGATTAAACGGAGACAGTCACCTTACCGCAAAGGCAGTATGTCTCATAGGATTGCCACCCCTTGTTGGTTTAAATTGTATAGGAATAGATCTTTAAACATATTTTAATTAATTTTAATATGAAATCTATAGGCATTTATATGTGTTGTGTGCGTGTGTGTATACGTATATATGGAGGGAGAGAGAGAGAGGTTCTACATAGGATAAATGATGCTGATTTTCTATTTATTGTGGTCATGATATAGCAGTTCCTTTTAAAATTATTAGGCTGGGGGTTAGCTCAGTAGTAGAGCGCTTAGGCACAGTAAATTCATTTAAGTAAAAGGAGTAAGTTTATGTAAAGAAATATTAGGTCAATGGTATTTCGTGATAATGCGTATTTATGGCCATATGTGATGTGTGTGTGTAGGAAGGAACGGAACTAATGAAATTTAAGAAACTCCAATCTACAGGACAGAGGCTACAAAACTGGAAGGCTGAGGGAGAAAAGGAGAAAACAAAACCTCCCTGCCTGGCTCCCCTCCTGTTGCAGAAGGTGGCAGCTGAAATGTGACCCCTGCACTCTCCTCCCCTGGAGAGAGGAGTGCTGGTGGGCGTGGGAGGCTGGAGGGCCAGGTGGACTGGAGGCCCTGGCCTGAGCTGAAACTGGGAAAGGTGACTTGGGGAACAGGTGTGAAGCAGGGGAGTAGGTGGGTTTTCCCCTGGGGCCACCTGAATAGAGCACTTGAAGCAACAGAAATTTATTCTCTTGAAGCTCTGGAAGTTAAAAATTCTAGATCAAGGTGTTGGCAGGGTCACACCCTCTCTGAAAGCCCCAGAGAAGGATTACCTTCTCTCTTAAATTTTGGTGGCTGCTGGCAATCATTGGCATTTATGGCCTCCGTCACTGCAGTCTATCTGTGTGTATTTTCTCTTCTTAGCGACACACCCGCCCTAATCCAGTATGACCTCGTTTTAATTTAATTACATCTGAAAAGACCCTATTTCCAAGTAAGGTCACATTCTGAGGTTCTAGGTAGACATTAAGCAAAGGGGGTGCGCTACTCAACCCAGTGTGGAGAGGGAGAGGTCTTCTCTGGGGCACCCCAGTCCCTCCATACACAGCTCCTGCATTCAGCCCTTCCCTACCAGGTGTCTGTGGGACCTGCTGCCAGCTCCTGAGGGTTTTGCTCCCTCAGAAGTGGCTGTCTTCCAGCTACATGGGAGCTCTGCTGAACCTCTATAGATTTCCCCGTTTCCCTTGATCTTCCTGGAGCAGAATGGCCAGTGTGACAAACTGGGCTTCTGGAGAAGTCCAGGTCTTGCTGGTTCCATTAGCAGGGGTGGTAAGGGTGGTAGACCAGGCGCTGGGGTCTTGCCCTTTCCTGGAGGTGGTGGCTGGATGCAGTGAGTGAGGGCTGCCTTGGAAACTGAGCCTCCTTGCTTATCAAAGGCTCCGTGCTTGTCCTTTTCTGCTCATAGCTTATGAAGAATGACTTTGACCTAGAGGGAGGGATTACTGAGAGCAATATAAACTCAACTAGTTCAGTTCCCTGACAAGCCCAGCCCTTTATATATAAACATACGAATATAAGCCACACAAAGGAGGTGATTCACCCATGAATTGTGCTTTACCGAGGCCATAGTCCCTCCTATAGTTCCCTCTTGGCTGCTCACCTCTAAATGAAGTCAGGTTTGTCCCAGGTTGAGAGGTTAGAAATAGAAAATTCACTCAGGGATTGGTGTCCAGGGCCACCCACTACCTGAAGCTGATCTTATTAGGGCAAATCCCAAGTGTCTTTGGCTAGCGTGCCCCCC